TTTCTCATAGATAAATGTTCACGCAAAGTGGTGGCCTTTCTATGTCTTTAGCATCTTGAGCATGTCAGCTATCCCACCCAACTTTACTTTTCCGTCTTCCAAAATCGTCTTGGAGACTTTTTTACTATTTTTTGAAACAGCTATCGTATCCGGGCGTTTGCCATTATCGGTGTTTCAATGGTCGCGTTTAAGATCAAGACACCGATTTTGCACTACTTATCTCCATGGGACAGTATCCAAATAACATTTGCTAAGCCATTGCCTCGTTTGCACGGTGTCTTTTTCCCCATTAAAATCAGTGCCGGAGACTTATTGAGTTATGTGTTAAAATCAAAATTATATTTTGGACCGACAGACAAAGTGATATCCGTACTAAATTGATTCTGTCATTCTAGTTAATCTATAAAAATGTATAGCTTATGTTCATTTACCAGTGGTGTATATAGACACGTTACACAGATAAGTTAAATATGTTTATAGCGCGTGCTCATGTGCAGCAGACACATATCAAGTGCATAATAGTTTCTGGGTATATAGTACCCGTACTTTGTCCCTTCGAAAATACAATTTCAGTCATTGACTTCAAGCTTTTTTTTTTTTAAATCAGATTTTGAAGTGCTGAGGATGGCAATATTAGTTGAACACGAAGCCAAAAAAAAAATTCACTCTATGTTTTGCAGTTTAAAAAGTGTCTCATATGGCGACTTGCGACACATGCTGCAGCAGATTTTAACTAATTGGGCTTGAACTAATTGAATTTGAAGCATTTAAAGAAGTATCACAGTTTATTCGCCCCAAATAACTTCGAAAATTTTGTACGAGTTGTCCCTATCGTTTAGTTCTGATAGATTCCAAGCATTTTGTCAAAAGCTCATTCAAAGCCAAAGGATTTGAAACGACAAGCAAAATACGCTAATGGAGTTAAAAGGCCTTATGTCAATAAATACTTTAAAATTCTATGGAGGATGCGCTTAGAGGGTGCCGTAATAGTATTGCAAATGAAGGCGCTATGGATGACGCTAAAATAAATAATATATTTTTAGCAATTCCGGATATACTTTACAAATACTATACAGTTTGTTCAAAGAAACTTGCTAACATTTATGTACATAGCGCAACAGAAATCTTAAGTACGTGCTTAGGTACATCCGTGCTATTCAGATTTTTTCTAGTTGTACTCGCACCAATGGTCCTTTTTTTGGGTTTTCATATAAAGGTTTAAAATTATTTTATTTTATGATGATGGACGGACAGACAGACAGACAGATGCATAGAAAAAAGTAAGGAAATTTATATTGCTATTATCGTTGAGAGAAACAACTAAGAACATTGTATTCAGCCAAGGCCGACTGTACCCTACACCATTTCGCCTAATACAGTTGTTCAATCGTTTTGATGATAATACGCCAAAAGTTATACATTACTCTCAAGCAAGGCATGCCTTTAATGAATGAGCGCAAATTGGAGGAATCGTTAAATGCCGTGGTATTCAAAAAATAGACCTTATTGGTCCAAATTCAGTAAGGTTGTCGTCTACGTCAATTTACTATTATGATCTAAGTTTCAACATGAAATATTAAAAATGATATCTTTTAACTGTATAAAGATTCAGTTTTCGTAGGCACGATTATACGCGACGTTGTATGGGGAGTAGTCGAAGAAGTGAATCGATGTAAACCATTTCCCAAAGCATTTGTCCTTGGGTCCAAAAATTGCGACCTATAGCTTGAACAAAAATTTAGATGAACAGACAAAAGTCGGACAGGTAGACAGATGGACAGACAGGCTTAGAATCATTTTCTGAATCGATCGGCATAATAAAATATGGGCCTATCCTAAGTCCTTCTGCGTGTTACGTACGTCCGTATAAACTTAACATGCCCTACACCACACAAGTGGTATAAATACTTACATTAGGAGACTACAATGCGGTTTTTATTCGTTAGAAACGTTTGATAAGCCTAATAAATACCTTGCGATGGACTTAGAAATTTAAGTTTACATCTTACTGAATTCGTCTTTTCAGGTTACACATATACGTGTTCTCAAAAAAGAGAAACAAATGATTCCCACGCATATACATCTGACTCGCAATCACGTAACAAATTTCTGGCCATTCTGTATAGAAACCAAACTTTATAACATTCTCTGTCATATTGCTATAAGTCACGTATTCTTATAGTATGCAATACAATGTTTTCAATGTTCAAAACATTTCTTTTTATATTTATTATCCATCGTGGAAAAGTATGTTAGCTTTGTTGCTCCATTTGTATAACTTGACAATGGACATCAGGGAGATTAAATAAAGCGTAAATACTTTTAATGACACCTTTAACAATTCATCTCTCCGTCCGTCCTACGTGCATTTATTTTAGATTTTCGAGAAGATGTGACACGTTTTTGTGAGGGGAAAGCTATAGCTTGAAAAATATTGAAAAAATTAAATCAAGAATGGGCGTGGTTAACCTACAAGAAAGTCGTGCTTCCAAAAAATTAATATATTAACGCGTAATAATTCGAGACTTATGAAATATGTTGTCCTAGAATTAGGCAGAAATGTTTTTTGCAGCAATGATGTTAATCAGTTAATTTATCCACCTACACTCAATGAAACGACGATATACATTACATTTCCCATAGAGATGGTAGCTAACTAAGATTCGCCCCAGAGACATGCATATGATAGTTTCCTTACTCCTTATCTACTCGCATATTACGTACACACACACACACACACACATACACACACTATCTTCTCTAAACATTGTCACATTCTATACAGCTATGTGGTATGTTTGTAAACAACACCAGAAAACTCATCACAAATATTGTTGAAATGCAACATGCAATTACAATAACAAATACAAAGTATCTAGTGCAATAGAAATAAAAACATAGTTAAAGGGTGTAGACAAGTACAAGCATTACTATAGGAAATAATGTGCAATAAGAGGAAGACACATGGACGAACACATACATACACATTACTAGAAACTAGACGTTAACGCATATCAATAGCACTCTAACTATTACTCTTCCTAAATAAGTTTGTGTAAATTTATTCAAGATATTAAAATTGGAAACAACAAATTAGGCAGAGCTGTTAGGTAAATGAATGATGTTTGGAGTTACTTATGAACTTACGTTAGGATAACCCTTTCCCTCTGAAAAAATAAACTTAAGCCCTTCATTTGCATAATAATTAAATTTGATTTAAGAAATTGCGAACCTCTGAAGTTTGTTTCCTAAAAAACGCCTCTCGAGAACATTTTCAAAATTATCTCTAAAACTTAGTTTCTCTGTAAGAAAAAATGTACTTTGTTTTGTTGAGACAGCCTTGTCTATGAAGAAAGTGCTCGGTTCTGTGAGTCGGAGGGTTAATAAAAGCGAATATGGAATCCACGACTTGTGAAATAATTCTGGAAAACTAAATTTGCTCTGAAACGCTTTTACGCCCGCTAGCGAAACTTGCCGATCGTAAAAGATTAAGGTATGAACTACCGCTTAGACGAGGAGATAAGGCTCGCGACTTGGTTGGTGTTCGTGATTTCGAATCTCAGTGCATTAAAGTTCCCTTGACTTTTATACCCTTATCCAAAAAAAAGACGAAAGAACTAAATTTTCTTGCTCTAGAATATGGAGTTGGTGCGGCTGATTTTCTCAAAGTAATAGTTTTTGTCACATAGGTGTTTGGCACTACACTAAGTGAATCTCAACGCCATAATGAAAAACTGAATTGTCTCTGCTAGAAAATTGCCATAGATTGCATTCAAAGGTTCACAATGCGATGTAAAAAAAAAGAAATAAAAAGAAAAAATGAAACATTCTGGAAAAAATGAAAAGTTTTAATACATTCACGGTTAATGCTTATAAAGGGAAGTTGAAGTTTGGCACGAAATCACAACTGTTTCAAATTTATTGTTGCGAATGATAGCAAACGACCCGTTAACTTACCTACAATTAACATAAAACTGAACAAAATTTCATTCTACGAGATTTTCTTTCATTTTACTCAAAAATACAAATTTCAAAAAAAAAAAAAATAAATAAATAAAACAATTTGGAAACAGATATAACAGCAAATAAATAACGAAAATGGTCATTTTTTTTTTTTTTTTTTTGTAAGAGAAACAAAAACAATAAAAAAAAAAAAAAAAATGATTGCCTACGTACGTAACTGCAATACGTGCAAACGTAAATAAATTTATTTCAATCTGTAGTAAAAAGAGAACGACCGGTAAGCAGGTGGTATCCGTTGTTCGTATTTTAAGAAGAAATCAAAGATAGTGGCAAAGAAAAAGAAATATGAAAAAAAAAAAAACAACTGCCAACAGATATGCACATTACCGACCAGGTAGTAAAAGTTGAACATGTTGTTTTACTTGCAAAGGACTCTTTAAATACAGTTTTTAAGGTTGAAAAGGAAAATATATACATACATATATATATATATAAAAGATCTAGCAAAAAGGGAAAAATAAGTTGCACCTGCCCTTTTAAAATCTATCAAAAGACAAGTTAAATCAAAGAGAACTAACTGGTGAAACTTGATCATGACTAACTTACTCATACATTATCCGAGATCATAAGTGGAATGAAGTAGAAGTGGCTGTGGAGAGAAAACGACATATGGTGTATAAATATGTCGAATAAATTAAATAAATGAGCAGGGGTGTGTGCGTCTGCGACTACGTACTACGTGTACTGCTAGCACGCATGCGTACAACATTAAAACAATGTTTAAAAACATTAAGGGAATCTTTGTATTATAATTAATACCTTCTTGTGGCAACAACATTGTTGTTATTAATACCTTTAAGGGTGAACTAAAAAACGTTCTTATTGCAAGTGAGAAGATTTCTTAAGCAAAAAAATAAAAAATAAAAAAAAAATAAAAAAAATTAAAAATAAAAATAAATTTCCAGCTTGACTTTTTGAACTGAAATGAATTTCACAACTTTTGCGGATTTAATGAATTTTTGTTTTCCTTCTTTCAGGTTTAATCAGAATTCGTTCGTTAGTGTAGTTCCTATATTTTACCAAAAAATAAAAGGTGAGTGTTTTTATTTATTTATTTTTGATTTTTTTTTTCTTCCAAAAAAATCAATTTCAAAATTTACACAAGTTCCGGCATTACCTTCGTAGAATTGCTTTGAACAGGTGCGAAGTCTCTTCGTTTACCCATAGTACATACTTGTGTTTATTTGGTATAAAACAGAAATCATAACATTGCCATAATCAAACAAACACTTTATGATTGAAACTCTGGGAAAAGTATTCATCAAACTTTTGCTTGAGAAGGAATGTTAAAGTGGGTTTTAGAAAAATAAAAAAAAAAGTGAATAATTTTTTTATTCACATCTTCGGGCTAATTTTAGATTCCCGTTTTCATAGGCCTCAGTGATTACAGTAAGTAGAGTACAGTTGCTTTACTTCTCCGCACATGCGTTCTCAGAAACTATTATTGAGATTTTTCATTACGAATATTAGACGAACGAATTTATGATATCAAATGCATTTTACATTAGCTTTAGCTATATGTGTACACAGCTTGTCATAGATCGATTACATGTGATTAGTTTGGGGAGTTATACCGACACTTTCGTAGTTTTTTTTTTTTTGGAAAATTTCAACTTGTTAAAGAATGGTACACACCTTGTTGAAATTTTGACACGGCACAGCACTTGCTCTATCGCCAACTTACACTTGTCAAAGTTAGGACGCAAAAAAAAAGAGAAGAAATTTATATTCGGCTACAGCTGAATCTTTTATACCTACGACATTTGTCTTAAAATGGCATAAGCAAATATTTATTGTTGCGGTTTATAAGTAACGAGCAATGTACTCAATTTTTGTTTTTAAAAAGGCGAGAACTTTGGCCGGACAGACGGACGGACAAATAGGCCTAAATGGATTCAAAATTTGATGCTGATCACTAATATATGTACTTTGCAGAGTCTGCGAAGTTTCTTTCTTTGCTTCGATGAAAATGGAACTTTGAGTATATATAACACAGGGTGGATGTGGTCGATTTTTTCTAGTTTTGCGCAAGTACTGGAGGATTACTTGTAGCGTTGTAAAGTTTTATCTGTTGTGGTTTATAAGCAACGAGCAAAAAAGCCAAATTTGATTATTTTTGGAAAATAAAGTGTTTTCACTTTACGTTCCAGTATAGATTTCTTACTTTATCGATTAAAAGTTTTCTGAAAAGAAGTGATAAACTTTGTCTCCTCATAATGCGTATAATTCTTTCTTAGCTTATTTAAAATTTTCAGCTATTTCTGAAATTTGAACGATAATTTCTAATATGGATTTTACTCTTTCTCTATTTTGTTTTCCAGCGATTCTTTATGCAGGTTTTATGGGTTTTAAAAGCAAGACAAAAGAAAATTAAAATCAGATTTTACGCTCATAACGGCCTTCAATCTTAAGCATATATATTTCTCTTGCTGCTGGTTATCTACGATTATTCTTATTAATTATATTGTAAGATGATTACTTGAGTAGCCTTTTAGTTCAATAAGAATTATTTTATAATCTCTTGTTGCATATTTTTTTATACCTATTGGACATATGAACAAGGGACTTGTAAGTAAATAAACAAAAATAAAATAAATGAATCATCTCTTCTGAGTAGCGCCCTTCTCTTATTCGAAATTGATTCGCCGATCTCTCGGTTCATATTGGTTTGTTGACGAAACAGATGCTTTTATATGATTTTCTGAGTATTTAATAACTCTTGCATGCTTTCCGTATCCACCATTGAAAGATGGAAGTTAAAATTATCTTGCTTTTTTTTTCATAATATATTTAACATCCAAAAGGAAGCTGCAGAGATCCTAAAAACTATATATATATTCTTGATTGGCGTGAAATTGATGAAGCCGTGTCTGTCCGTTGGTGGGCTGGTCGTAAAAGTGAAGATATCGACTTCAAATTTGATAGAGACATCGGAGGTTTCTGCATGCAGGTTAGTATTGGAAATGGACCAAATTGATCAGAGCCGAAGTCCGCAGTGGGCCATAAACTGAACGCAATTCCGTCTTTCTTATCAAAAATTAGTGGGTTTTTGCTCGTTACTCGGACATTATAAAAGTTAAACGGCTGAAATTTTCTTCACGAAACACTCTACTCTTTACGTGTAAAAATGGGAAAAATCGGTCATGCCCACATAAAGTTAAAATTTTTTTCATTTTTTTGAGCTTTTATGCTTATAACGCAAGCAATACAGAATGATTAAAACTATTTTGTTTATTGCTGATATTATTTGCCTAAAAATGGGTTAATTCTGTACTGAATACAGTAGACATCGCGACCTGTTAGGTTAATTTTTTCTCAATAATACCAGCGATATGGGTATCAAATAAAAGACCTTGGAGAGTAGAATGCGAAAAGCATTAGGGTGGGTTCGCGGGATTCGGTGCCCGCCGATTAAAACTTTCTTACTTCTTTTTGTCTTTTTTTCGTTTTTTTATTCAAAAGTAATTTTCATTCAAATCTGTTCGGATTAATAGAAAATATTATGAATGTAAATATTTTGTGAAATTTCTTTTATTTTGGTTGATTATTTATTTTCAATTTTCTTAATCAGAAAATCGAGACTCAATTACTGTAAACTTTTAAATCGTATTAGAATACCAATCTTACCGATTGTGCATGCATAAGTGATGTCGTTATCAGATGAAAGTGTTTATGTCGAAGGAAAACGTTTTAAAAGAGCACTCTCTACGTAAGCTAAATTCTTATCGTAGACTGTTGATAATAATACTAAAACTCTTTTAGGACATGCGAGCAAACTTTTTGTAGTTTTATTTGGAATCTTTAAGCATTAGTCTGAATTTGTAATATATTTAAGGATTGACGAAAGTAGCTCATAATGTTGCCCTTGATTACTAAAGAGAAGGTGCAGTATGTAAAAAATGGTTGTTCTACTTCAAGGAAGCTTCAAAAATGCTACACAATATGTTGCCTGCTTGATCAGTATCAAAATCTGTGCCGTTCTAAGCAAGTCCGTCTGTCCGTCTATACGCCGGTGTAATGACTGCTGTATTCATTCATGGATGCTCTTGCAAGTACGATGATGCTGGAAGTGGGTCAAAGCGTTCAAAAGACACACTTACATTATAACATAACCTGACAACACATCTGTTTGCAGCAAATACAAAAGTAATAGTTTGGTTTTGCTCTTTCATCATTAATCATAACAGATATAATGAAAAAAATGTGCGTGTATCGTCCACGGACGAACTTACAATATATGTAAAAAATAGAAAGAATGTCCAGTCGTACTTGATTGAAATTTGTTTTTATGCTTTTCTAAATTGTAAGATAAAGGGAGTGGGTAAAAAGGATTCGACTATATATGCTCACGGTATATGATATTTAGCATACAAAACATCGATATTTCGAGTTTAATGTTTCCAGTCCAATAGTGTTAGCAAACTACCAGATAAATCTTGAATGAATCGGTTTTAGTCGAACACAACTTCTTATTTGTTCTTACTCAAAATCAGGTCATTCCATCATTGAGGGTTTACTTTCCGCAGAAATGGTTATATAGTAAGAATTGCTCCATCTGATCTAAAGTTTTCCTATTAATTCAGAATTCCGAAATAATATTATTAAGCAATTTTTATCGTGTGTGATGCGTCACAAGGAATGCATGGTATAAATAACAGCAATCGCTATGCAGGGAGAATAACAAGTTGGCGCAAATGTCTACTTTGCTCTAAAATATCTTCTATATACATATAAATATGAGTAAATGGTATATATTTCATGGCTTCGAGTGACGAACAAATGATTATTATCAGTTTCTTAGGGTGACCCTTTTTCGATATTCGAGCTTTAATACGTAATTCCTCTCATGAGTTTAGGAGGGGTATTTTAAAAGCAAATAGTGTAATCTGCCACATACATACATATATATATATCCCTTGATCGAGTACCTCGATGAGAATCGAAAGAAGTCTCCCTCCAGAAGAGAAGGGCACATTTTTCGTTTTGCATCAGAAAGTTTGATCCTAAAAAATACACCAATTATTCACCAAGAGAAAAGATGAAGTCCTTTGAATGGGTATGCAAACTGAAGGTGACTTCTGCTCACCTGATCGATTCATATATAGTAGATCATGTTTCTGGCTTTTTCTCACTAAAATTTAAAATAAATTTTCCTATATTTTAAATGAATTTTATTAAACGAGATATGTGGCATTGTGTGCTCTTTCCAAATATCCTGAATGACAATTTTATATATCGATGTTAGTTTTATAAAAACACTTATATATATTAAATTTTCTCTCTCGTTTATCTTGAGCGAAAACTTAAATTGATTTTTAATTTAATATTAATGATATTTGCATCGCAATTTATGCCATCGTAATTATCTGTCAAAAATGTGACAAATATTAACATGCATGTGTATTCGTAAAACAACTTTCACATATCAGCACTTCCGTTACGTAGCATAATTTGTCATTTGTACATTTATTTTTTTTTTTTTTTTGGTGAAACGTTTTTATATGTATTTGTGTTTAACCGTGACATGTGTATTTGAGGACATTAAAGGAGAAAAAAATGAAGTTAAATTTATATATATATATATATATACATATATATATATGTAATAAATATAAAACATGGCTATGCTTAACTTGTCTACAATATTCTGCATACAAATTGTAGAATTTGTTAAATGAATTTATTGTAATTAAAATATTTTTGTACATCAGCTTAAATACTATTGCTATTCAATTAAAGTAAAATTCTTGAGTGTATATATTTTAATGTTTCCACATTCTCACCTTACGGTTGAGTAGAAAAAGTGCTTCAACGAAGGGGAAAAAAATACTAAAATATTTTCCTAAAAGAATGTTTAAATCTTTATGTTCAAGTTTTTTTCTATTTTTTTTTTTTTTTTCTTTCAATTATCAATCAAATGTCAGTAAAAACATTATGTTATCACAGCAAAGCTTTTGGGATTTCTAGATGAAAAACTGAACCAACAAATAAATTTGAATTTGAAATCAGCCTTGCATCGATAAGAGAGATAAG